TATATATATATATATATATATATTTTTTTTAATTTTTAATTACAATTAATTTATAAAATAAAAAAATAAAAACATTATAATAATGATTAAAATGAAATATTATCAAAAATAATAAATTAAATTTTTAATAATTAAATATAAAAAAGGTTTATAAAAATATTTTCTTCACAAAAAATTATTTATTTCTAAATTCATTTATTTTGGGAGTGAATGCGGAGTGAATTTTATTATTAATAAAAATTAACTCCTTCTCGGAGTAAATATCACTCCCGCTGGGAGTGAATCAATTAAAAATTATTTACTCCTCATTCACTCCGCGTTCACTCCGCAAATTTTTTACAGTGTATCATTTTTAAATATACTTTGCGGCGTAAGAAGATTTAATCGCACTATAGAAGAATAGAAAACTTAACGCTTACTTTTATTTAGTTACTTCTTCAAGAAAGTAACCAGTTTACTTACTTTCCAATGTACAGATCTCTGTTCTTGACGCACATTACTCCACAGAAGATACTTTCATCTTTCATCTGACACGAAAAGTACACAGTATCAAAAAATCCTTCAAGCCGAAAAGCTAAAGTTACCGAAAATATATTCTTCTTTGTAACTTTGTAAATATTTAGGATATATTCACAGTTTTATTGCATTTATTTTTGTAGATTTGGTATTTCTTCTTTCCTGTTGCGGTTCCAATTATTTAAAGGTTATGGTCACTTACCGTGTAAACAATTAACAATTATTATAATTAGAACACATTGATGAAAAGTAATTAAATAAAAATTGTAAGTATTGATAATTATTTCTTCACTAATATTAACTTTTTTTTTGTAAAATACTGAGCAATAATTAAAACATAACCTTTCTTAAGAAGACAAGTAATTTGAGAATTCTTTAAATTTTTTAACAAATAAATTATAATTAAAAAAATATTTTAAAAAATTTGCACTTAAAGTTTATTTCATTTAGCATTAGCTATTCTGCAACAATCATATGACTACATTTTTTTTTACTGAGCATAATAATTTAAAATTTATAATAACAATCAACATTCTCCTTAACATATAATATCAATTGAATTTTAAATATTTTCAATCGACTTTCATTAATCAATTCATTATTTTAACTGTTATAACCATTGAAATCCTTAATATTCTATAGATTTTTCAGCAGTGTAAGTCGTAGTATGTTCAATTTTTAACAAATTTTGGTTTCTAGTGTTGTAAATATTATTATTTGATCTTATCATATCATTTAAGTAATTAGGAAGAAGTCTATTTTTCATTTTAAAAACAAAGATACAGGTATTACAAAATATTCTTTGTCAGATTGATAACCAACCTAATATCTCTAACATTTAATGACACCTAATATTCCACTTTGTTCTGAAGTTTTTGCAAAGTATTTAGTTTATTATCATTATAATTTAACATTAACGTATTGCAGTAATTTATATTAAAAATACTTACAGTAAACCTGAGTCTATAAAAAAGATTAATTTTACTTGCTATTTCCCTACAAATGTAAACTGCATTACTGTTAAATCATAATATTATAATTGTTTCTAATATTTTGAATTCTTTGGTCATGTATAATCATATAAATAGTTTTTTTTTACCTTCATTTTTAATTGAATCTTTTTTAACCAATTGTCAAGTATTTCTAATGCACAATTTAACATACATTCAATACCATTTTTATAGTATATTACACCCCCTTGGGGAGGAAAATAAGAAAATCCTTAGATCTTATGTAATTGTTGGCCGAGGCAAAGTCGAGGTCGACAAACATTTGATCTGAGACTTTCTTTTTTAATTTCCAAGGGATGTATATTATTTTTTTGTCCGACGAAGGCGGAAAGCGGCAATTTTGTTTAGCGCAGCGGGACGAAAGTTACCACTTTCCGCCTGGAGGGCAAAAAAATGTTTAACCCTAAAACTTAAACTCATATCATCAGAAAATAATTTATAGTCAATGTCTAATCTTTTAAACATAGTAATGATTTCATTAATTTAAACAACTTATATTTTACATTACGAATGTCTTTAGACATTTAAAGATGGCATAACTACGTATAACGATGTATAAGTTAGTCTGTTCACTTCTGGATCTCCATCGCAACTGACCTAGTATTTGCTAGAACAACATAAAAAAATGTCCGTTTCTTCCATTATAATAACGAATTTTGCATTGTTACTTCAATCGATTGTCGTATATTGCAGCTTTCAAAGTAATGAATGAGTGTTTCCATACTTTGTTTTCATTTTCGTTACGTGGAAACACTTGAACATCAATAAAAAAAAAAAAATTAGAAAAACCGTTGACCCTGAAGGCCATTCCTGTAATTTCCCGCTAATTCCATACCTAATAAGCGCTTTAAATTGCACTTATGATGTTTTTGAGCTCTATGAGCTCAAAAATACAATTTGTTTGTTATTTTGAGCTCTCCGACCTCAAAGAAATAGCTTTTGTATTCTTTAAAGCTCTTCGAGCCCAAAAGTCTGATAGAAGTTTGATAAAACACTATTTTTTAAATTTTCAAACTGCTATAGCAAAGAAACACATTTCTTACGAATTACCACGCTTTACGACGACTTATCTGGAACACTCATTTTTGGTGACTGTGATAAGAGTATGGGAAGAATTATCTAGTGATATTGTAAACTCAAAGAGTCTTGAAGCATTTAAAAACAAAGTTTATGATTATTTTTTAGAGTTAGATTTTTAAACTGATTTTTAAGTTGATAAATCATTTTAGTGAAGTTGAGCGAATTTTTCTCTTTTTATTTTTGTACTTACAGATGCTGCCTTGTGCAGATTGCTTTGTATTTTGTATAATCATGTAATATTTGTTGAGTTGCCATTTGTCCTGTGCCTTGGTATTAACAAACCTAAATCTAAAATCTAAATCTAACTTTAGAATGAATGAACCGATTTTTACGCGGTTGACGGCATTCGACGCAGTTCTTTAAGTCTCATGAAGAATCTTTAAGTTTAATTTGATCGAACTAGGAATTTTGGAGTAATTCCGAAAAAACACTTTTTTCGGTTTTCTTTCGTCAATGATAACTCACGAACGAATCAACCGATTTTGACCGGACTGGCAGCGATCGACGTGGTTTTTTTATGTTAAAGGCTGATTAGGTTTTGGAATTGATCGGTGGAGCCGTTTGAAAGTTATTCCAAAAAAAAACCACATTTGAATAAATGTTTTTTTGTAGTTTTTTTGAGATTTCTCAAAATCTACTGGTCCGAATCAGTCCAAATTGTATTCAAAATCTAAGTTTAGTCAAGCCCTTTCGAATGGCGTCCACCGCGATGAAATCGGTCAAGCCGTTCAAAAGTTATGAGAGGTTTACATGCACACACTGATATATATAAGGATTTATTAATTATTAATAATTTAATTTATTTGAAGGCAATTATTTAATTTATTAAATTTTAAATTACTTATTAACTGTTAATAAATATTTATTAAATCTTATGATGTTAAAAAATCATTTATTAACAGTCAATAAAGCTTATTAAATGTAAACAAATCCTTCTATCAGTGTGGCTAACTTAATTTTCATAAATTAAAAATAAAATTTTTTCTTCTTTCATGAAGAATATATTTTCATTTAATTTAAAGAGGACCAAATGAAAGAAAGTCAACAAAATTGAATAGCACTCTCCACATTGTAACGTTTAAAGAGACTGAAACAATCTCTACAATTCGGGCAATCGATTCCACTTAAAGAATCTTCACAACCAGAGCAATCGATTCCACCCGAACAATTGCCGTGACTTGAATCATTGTCATTTACACTGGGTACTAGTTATTGAGAGAATTTGGACTGAAAAGATGCTGACAATAATGAAAACAATCAATACATTCGATTTTATCCAAGTAGAATTTCAAGCTTCTAATTAACAGATAAAGTTTAAACAATAAACAAATGAAAAAACTGTTACAAAAAAAATTTCAATTGTAAAAAATTTGAAAAACTGTAACTACAATTTTTAAAAAATATTTTTTAGTATTTAATTTAATAAATTAAGCAAAATCAAAAAATTGAAATCGTCGGCTAACTTTAGTATTATGATTTTTTATTATACTAATTTAATAGTACAAAATAAATTTACATAATTTAAAATATTATTGTATAAATAAATATATTATATAGAATATCATTTAATTTAAATAGATAATTTTGAGCATTCAAATTGATTTTACATAAGGTTATCTACAATATGCGTATGTTTTGATGGATACGCCAGTCATAGCTGAAGGCAACGAAGTATTTTTGATAAAATTGAACTTTTAATATTTCATAGGACAAAAAAGAACGTTCATTTAATGAGAAGTGCTCATAAAGTGATATATTATTTATAACAAAAATGGCTGCTAATGAATTAAAACTTAAGGTAAGATTTTTTCCGTAAATTTTGAACTTTTTAATTATAAAAATACTGAAATTAGTAGTTTTTATTTAATAAATAAATTAGTATTAAGAGAAAAATTTTTTTTTTAATTCTATTAATCAGTTTTTTTTTTTTTAATTTTTTATGTGTCATGTAAGCTTTTTTCTTCAATTTTCTTGTCAATAATTTATTTTTTTAGAAATGAAATTGAAAATATTGAAATTAATTAAAAAAAATATTTCTTTTTTATGATCTTAAAAATTTTTATATTTTTTTTATTAATTAAATTAGAATCAAAAAAATTTTTACAAAAAATTACACTTATAGTTTTTTTTTAATCTTTTAAATGTAGAATTTTATTTTTATTTTTTTGGAATAAATTTTTTTATAAAAAAAAAAAAATATGAAAATTATCAGATGTTTATTAATTTCATTTTCATATTTTTCTTCAAAATTTTATATTAAAAATAACATTTCTCTATAATATCAGTTTTCAGTAATAGAAAAACTATTGATTAATAATTTTTTATAATAATTTATAGATACCAAAACCAACATATGAAAATAAAATTTGGAAAGGCGTTGAAATAAATTTACCGGAAGGATATTTTCAAATTGGAGAAAGATTGTACAATCAACTAAAAAATAATCCAGATTTTGTCGGACAGGTATTTAATCAACATAATACACAGTAAAAATTTTTTACTGTATACATGATACTTAAATAAGAAGACAATTTTTTTTTTATTTTTCTTGAAAAATAAACTGGTTGAAAAAATTAATTTCAAAAAATTGCATTTTTTAGTAATTTTTTATAGTTTCTAAGGATGGCATTTTTTGAAAAAAATTTTCTTATTATTAGAAAATCAAATTATAAAATTAAATATCAGATTAAAAAATTATAAAAATTATCAGATGTCTCTCAATTTCAGTATCATTATAGTACATAGCAAATTTGTAACTTATATTATCAAAAATTTTTAAAAAATTTTTCATTTAGATTGATAGTGTGACTGGTGAAAAAAGATTGTTCAGTAATATAAGCGAAAGAAGCATCAAATGCGCTCTATGGTTAAAAAAACAAGGCGTAAAGCCTGGAAGTGTTGTAAGTTTTTGTTCAAAAAATCATTTTGACAGATGTATCCCATTATTTGCTACCTATTACCTAGGTGCAATTTTCAATCCGTGGTGGGATTGTTGTCTCACTAATGGTAATATTTTTTACAATTTTACGTAATGAAAAAATTAGCCGACATTTTTGATTTTTTAAGATTAGTTCATTTATTAAATTAGAATAAAAAAATATTTTTTGAAAATAAAATTTTATTTATAATAACTTTTTTCAATAAAAAAAATTAGAAAAATTTTTAGATGTTGGCTAATTTAATTTTCATCAATTTTACAATATATATAATTATTTTTTTTCTAAAATTAACAGAGCTTGTAAAATACTTTGTAAAGTCATCTCAGCCAAAAGTTTTATTCATTGATGAGGATTTGGCTGAGATAATTGTCCAAGCCGCCCAAGACGCGGATCCTTCAGTTAAAATAATTATATTCGGCAAAAAAGCTGGATTAAAATCTTTCGAAGATATTTTGCAGGAAAATATTAATGAACTAGATAAATTTCAGTGTACAAAAATCAGCAAAGCTGATGATCCAGCGCTGATAATGTGCACGTCAGGAACAACTGGTTTTCCAAAAGGAGTGTTGCATTCTTATGGATCTGTAGCACACACAATAAGCTTATTTCCAATCAACACTACAACTAATACGTTTTTATCTTTCTCTACTCTCTGTTGGATATCTGAACTGACACTTGTTTTACGATCAGTTATTTCAAAAACTACTATGATTATCAATAATAATTTGGGTGTTGATGATGCATGTAAACTTGTTGAAAAATATAAGGTTTGTACATTTTACAATAATTTACTTGAAATATTTAATTATTACTAAAAACCTTGCAGTCAATTTGTGACTGCCGTGACTCATGAACTATAAATGAATAAAATTTTGCTTTATTAAATAAATTTTGTTAAACTACACTGTACTTTCTTAACTATTGACATTTTTAAAGATATAAGCTCATCCTGATGTTATACTCACCAAGAGATTTCATTTGAATACCCACATGGCATTTTTGATATATTTTTCATAAGAACATATATATAATATATATAAATATATAAAATATATGAAAAATTGATGTGGGTACTCAAATGAAAGGTCTCGATGAGTGTAACATCGGGATGAGCTTATATCTTTAAAAATGTCAACAGTTAAGAAAGTACAGGGCATTTTAACAAATATCTTGTGAACTATTGACATTTTTAAAGATATAAGCTAATCTCGATGTTACACTCATCAAGAGTATATTTTTCATATATACATATATGTAAATATATAAAATATATAAAAAATTGATGTGGGTACTTAAATGAAAGGTCTCGATAAGTGTAATGTCGGGGTGAGCTTATATCTTTAAAAATGTCAATAGTTCACAAAATACAAGGGCATTTCATAATTATTGACATTTATGAAGATATAAGCTCATCCCGATGTTACACTCATCAAGAGCTTTCATTTGAGTACCCACATGCATTTTTTATATATTTTATATATATGGTATTTGTGAAATATATAAATATATAAAATATATGAAAAATTGATGAGGGTACTCAAATGAAAGGTCTCGATGAGTGTAACATCGGAATGAGCTTATATCTTCAAAAATGCCAATAGTTTACAAGACACAAGGTCATAATCAATTGACTATCAGTGAGAATGATATGAAACCTTGAAAAGGCACAAATTCAAGTCAAGACCTTTGCAATGACAAAATTTTTCTTTTTCTCTTAATAATTATTATTAATTATTTAATATTGTTAAATATTTAACAAATTATTTTAAATAATAGGTCACTAGAGTTCCAATGGGAACACACATTGCTAATCGGTTTAGTAAAACTCCAGATATTTCCAAATATGATGTCACGTCAGTTGCAGAAGTAGTATTATTCGGAGCAAGTACAACCAAAGAAGTTATTCTGTTTTTGGATAATTTCTTTGAAAATGCAGATATTTACAACGCATATGGTAAGTTATTTATTAATAAGATATTTAATAATAAAAAATTAAGAAATTTTCAATATTAATTAGTATTGTCGGTATTATTTTTATATTATAATACTATGCATACTTTTTTTAAATTTCTAAATGCAGAATTTTTTTTAAAATTTATTTGTTAATAAAAATATAAAAATTATCAACTGTTTAATAATTTTATAATAAATTTTTGCATAATTAATTTTTGCTAATACAAAAAAAAAAATTATTTTTTGTTAATTTTCTATTTCACCTATTCCAGAAATTTCAAGTTTTAATCATTGTTGGAGGAAAGTTTGACGCATGCATGCGTCCAATTCATTTCTACCCTCGTAATATCAACAAAAGAGTTGTTTTTCGCTAGACAAAGCATGAATTTGAACTTTCCTTCCAACTATAATGACACAAATGAATATAAGCCAATTAAAATTAAAACAAGATTGGATAAAATTCGCCAATTAATATTTCAGTTAAACTATTTCAGGATCCACTGAAAGTTTGATAGTTACCATTGGAAAGGTTGATTCAAGCAAGTCAAATTCCTGTGGTAAAATTTGCCCAAACGCTCAGTTAAAAGTTGTTGATCCACAGTCCAAAGCTACGCTAGGATTTAATCAAACAGGAGAGTTATACTGTCGGAGCAAGTCTTTAATGACCGGCTATTGGAATAACTCAGCAGCAACTGAAGAAGTTATCGACTCTGAAGGTTTCATTTAAATAATATCAATAGCAATTCATAAGTGAATTTTTTTATGAAAATTTAGCCGACATCAAATAATCTATGTTATTAAGAAAATAAAAAAAATCTTGTCTCCAAGATAGTCATATGATAAAATCGGTTTTTTTTAGAGAAATTTAGTGTCATTTTAAAGGTCTTGACTCGAATTCGTGCCATTTCAAGGTTTCATTCTCACCGATGGTCAATTTATTATAAGTATCTAGGCTGCATTCGAAAATGCTCTATCTCTAGATACATAATTAAGAAATGATCTTGTATCTTGTGAACTATTGACATTTTTAAAGATATAAGCTCATTTCGATGTTATATTTGGCGAGATCTTTCATTTGAGTACCCACATGCATTTTTTATATATTTTATTTTATATACATCACAAATATATCAAATATCATATATACAAAATATATATGAAAAATGCATGTGGGTATTCAAATAAAAGATCTCGATGAGCATAACATCAAGATGAGCTTATATCTTTATAAATGTCAATAATTAAGAAATTACCTTGTATCTTGTGAACTATTGACATTTTTAAAGATATAAGCTCACCCCGACATTGCACTCATCGAGACCTTTCATTTGAGTACCCACATCAATTTTTCATATATTTTTATATATTAGATATATGTATATATGAAAAATATATTAAAATGCATGTGGGTACTCAAATGAAAGGTCTTGATGAGCGTAACATCATGATGAGCTTACATCTTTAAAATCGTCAATAATTAAGAAAGTACAGTGCAATTTAACGAATATCTTGTGAACTATTGAGATTTTTTAAGATATAAGCTCACCCCGACATTACACTCATCGAGACCTTTCATTTGAATACTCACATCAATTTTTTATATATTTTATATATTTATATATATGTATATATGAAAAATATATCAAAATGCAAGTGGGTACTCAAATGAAAGCTCCTGATGAGTGTATCGTCGGAATGAGCTTATATCTTTAAAATCGTCAATAGTTAAGAAAGTATAGTGCAATTTAACAAAATTCATTACTTAATAGAGCAAAATTTTGATTATGTATAATTCACAAGTCGCGGCAGTCACATAGTGACTGCAAGGTTCTTAGTTTTCATAATTTATTTTTATTGAAAATAGTTATTACAAAAAAAATTTCATTTGTAAAAAATTTGAAAAATTGTAATTGCAATATTCAAAAAATATTTTTTAGTTCTAATTTAATAAATGAAATAAAATCCAAAATGTCAGCTAACTTAATTATTATAACTTTTCTTATTAAAAAATAATTTTTTTTTAACTTGACCATTAATTTATTTATTTTAGGATGGTACCATTCTGGTGATTTGGCTTATTATGATGAAGACGGTAATTTCTTCATTGTCGAAAGAATAAAGGAACTGATAAAATATAAACTTCGCCATGTATCTCCAGCAGTAATTGAGAATGTAATATTAAATTTGCCCGGTGTTGCAGAAGTAGCAGTGATAGCAAAGCCAGATGATAATGATGTTGAATTACCTATGGCGTTTGTTAAAAAAAATCCACTAGTCCAAGTTAGTTTTTATTTGTTTATAATTTTAATAAATAATTATAAAATTAATTAATAAACAATATTGTTTCGAAAGGTTACTGAGGATGACATTCATCAAATAGTCAATGATAACTTACATGACATGATGAAACTACGAGGAGGAATTTATTTCTTAGAGGAAATGCCGCATACTGTCACTGGAAAAATTTCAAGAAAAGAACTTCGAGCAATGGTTAAAACTCTTGCCGCTTGAAAAAATTATTTTATATGTTTAATATTTATGATTATTGAATAAAAAAAAAAAAAAAACGATTTATATTTTTAAGTCTATGATCTAAATTTAAAGTATTAATTTTTTTGAAAGAAGTATAACTTCAAAAAAAAATACTTTTTTTTTAATATCATGAAAATAGGTATACATTTTTATTTTCTAAAAATAATTTTATTTTTTTTTTTAAGTAAGTTTTTGTTTTTTAATATATAAGTACAGTAAGAAAAAAAAATTTATTTTGCAAAAAATGAGTAATATTGTAGTAAGAAATTAATTTGTTGAAAATTTTTTAAAACTTTAATTAGCTGAATCTGTGTAAAAAAAAACTTGTCCTAAAAGGGTCATAAACTTAGGATCTTAAACGTGAAACAATTTAAGATATTTTTATGGCAAATTTATGACAAGAAACCGGAATAAAATTTAGATTAAAAAAAAAAATATTGTTGCTATTACTCAAAGAAAATATATTATACAAAGTACTTTTATGACAATTTTAGGACAACTTCATGATATGTTTATGACAATTTTAGGACCTTTTTGGTATACTTTTGTAGTGTTGTAAAATTAGGCTGTAGCTTAGTTTTATTAGTTGTATGGTCAGTGTAGAATTTTTATGTTTTGTAACTAAGGGCTTAAGGTATCATAAATTATAGGATTAAGTAAATACGTCAGACATACTGTGTCAAAGAAGTATCCTAAAATTGTCGTAATAGTGTCTTAAAATTGTCATAAAAGTATTCTAAAATTGTCGTAAAAATGTCTGAAAATTGTCATTAAAGTGATCTAAATTGTGATAAAAGTATCATAAAAGTACTTTTTACAATAATTTTTCTCTAAATAATAGCGACAATATTTTTTCCAATCGAAATTTCATTCCGGCTTGGTGTCATAAATTTGTCCTAAATTGTGTCACGTTTAGGATCCTAAGCTTATGACTCTTTTAGGACAAGTTTTTTTTTACACGGGAAGAAATAAAAATTTTTTTCACAACAACTTTCTTATTGAAAAAAAATTTTTAAATAGACAACTTGCGAATTTTTATCCAAATTGTTTTTCTTTAAATCTATAAAAATTTTTTTTCAGCTGAATAAAATTTTCAAAAAATTAATTTCTTATTACCAGATTGCTCATTTTTGCAAAAATTACATATTTTATTATATAAAGATAAAAAATAAGGCTTTGTTATTTGCAGCAAAAAAATGACCGACTATTGTAGTTAAAAAAACCTTAATTTTCATTAATATAATTAGTATTAAAAAATCCAAAGCTTTGATTTCAGACAAAGAAAAAAATTATCGCGAAATGCATCATAAATTAAATTAAAGTTATCTGACTTGATTCTTTGCTCGAGTAACTTTAGTCGATAGCATTTGCAATACGTGATAAAATAAATAACAAATTGACCTTTTGGAGTAACTTTAAAAAGCACTACTTTTTACAGCTTAACTTTATTTCAAACCCGAGGTAAGTTTTTTTTTTTGATAAAGTTAGTACTTTTAAAGCAAACAGTTTTTTTAACTCTCACAGAGTTTCTAAAATTTGTTTTTTCATTGAGTAGGAAGAAAAAAAATCCAGATGTATTAGGATTAATTTTCTTTGACCTACTGAAGCTATATATTATAAAATTAACTATTTTACTAATTTATTATTCTTTTACTTTTAAATGTGGTGTGTTGAATGTTTTTATAAATAATTTCAAAGTTTTTAACAAACATTTCGACAAGTCATAAACATTCCATAGCTAAAGAATCTCCCAACAATACATACCCTGCTACGTTGGTAAATATACTCGCTTGTTTACGTATTCTCCGAGCTAAAAATTATCGTTTGCAGACTCTCGAGTGTATATAAATACAAACAAAATATTCAATGCCAAATCATGTAGTTTTTGACACAACGATTTTTACATTGCATAATTTTTATTTTTATTTTAAGATTTGTTTTTTAAATTGCAAATTTTTTTGGAAATTATTCATTTTTAAAAGAAGAAATTCTGAATTATAAATTATTTATATGATTTGATATTTTTTAAAAAATTGTTTTCTTCTCATCAGATATTTTTTTTATTGCTAAAAAATTTTCAATTTTGAAAATAAAATATTAGAATATTATTTTTTAAATAAAATTTTAATCTAGTTATTTAAAAATTTAATAAAATTATATAATTTTATTATTAAAAATAGTTACACAATGGAATATATATTATTTATGTTTCATCATTGAGTATATTAAAAAAAATTTATAAAAAATTTTTAATAAAAATTTTTTTTTTAAACTTTTATCATAAAATTACATTTAAAAAATTTTTTAATTTCTAATTTCTGATAAAATTTTATTTTATTATTAATTAATTTTAATATGAAACGAACTTCTAATTTTATCTATATTATTATACTGATAAAAATATTGACTTGACTCAAGAAGAGCCAAACTCTTGAACCAAGAATACCATTTTGAAGAAAACCATTTTCTTCAGTCAAGAGAATAAATTCTTGAGCTAAGAAATTATTCTTGGTCTAAGAAAAATTTTTTTTTTCAAGAATTTATTCTCTTGGCTAAAGAAAATCGTTTTCTTAAATATGGAATTCTTGGATCAAGAGTTTGGCTCTTGAGTCAAGTCAATTTTTTTATCAGTGTAAGAAAATGAGAAAAATTTTTTGTCCAGGATATTCATATGATAAAATCGTTTTTTTTTAGTGAAATTTAGTGTCATTGCAAAGTTCCTAATTTGACTTTGTGTCTCAAGGTTTCATAGCATTCCCGCCGATGATCAATTTATTATGATAAGTATTTAGGCTGCATTCGAAAATGCTCTTTCTCTAGATACATAATTAAGAAATGACCTTGTATCTTGTGAACTATTGACATTTTTAAAGATATAAGCTCATCCCGACATTACATTCACCGAGACCTTTTATTTGAGTACCCACATCAATTTTTCATATATTTTATATATTTATATATATATTATATATAAATATATGAAAAATATATCAAAAATGCATGTGGGTACTCAAATGAAAGCTCTTGATGAGTGTAACATCGGGATGAGCTTATATCTTCAAAATATGTATTATATAATATATATATGTATATATGAAAAATATATGAAAATACATGTGGGTACTCAAATGAAAGCTCTTGATGAGTGTAACGTCAGAATGAGCTTATATCTTTAAAAAAGTCAATATTCGAGAAAGTACAGTGCAATTTATCAAAAGTCATTATTTAATAAAGCAAAATTTTATTTATTTATAGTTCATTACTCGCGGCAGTCACATAGTGACTGCATGATTGCTAGTTATTTGTTATTTATCAATAAAATAAAATAAAATTTTCAAATTAATTTTAAGAGAAGAAATTACAAGAATGTAATTTAAGAAAAAAAATTAGTGAATGGAATGACCTGGAGGGTCAATAATTTTTCACAAAATATCAAACTGTCAGTGACTCAACTATTTATAAATATATGTTTACATGTTTAAAAAAAAAAATGTAATAAGCGACGGTATTTTTAAGACATTTTATCCACCGGGATTCTTGTATTCCACCAACCATCTAAAATTTTATTTTTAGACAAACCTTATACTCTACATACTCTTCTCAGTATGTATGATGTCACATTTTCAAAGTCTAAGTTTTATTTTATGAATTTAAACCAGTTGCTTTTCAATCGACTGAACTACCGCATAATATTAACTGTAAAAATTTTAATTTTTATATTAATAAATAATAATAACAATAATAATAAAATAAATTATTTAATTTTTTTAATTATGATTATGAGACTGAAAATTGGTGATCAATTTTACTTACTTGAGTATTATGCATCTTTTGATAATTTACAATCAAATAATGAAATAAATAATAATAATAAGAATAATCAAAATAATAATAATAATAATAAAATTTTAAATGAAAACAGTATTAAAAAAACTTTAAATGAATTAATACCTGAAAATAATAAAGATAGTGTAAAAAAAAATTTAACTGACTCAATAAATATTTCAACAACAAAAATGTTTAAGTGCCCACGAAAAAAACGTCGGTATTTATGGAATGTAAGAGTTGAAAAATTAAAAATATATTTAATCGGTGATTACTTACGTCAATTAATTCTGGAAGATTTAACGTCATCGATTACACCCAACAAAAGTAAAGAAGAAATAGCTGAGGAGAGATGCAAAAAAATTCAAAAGTATCTTAACAGCAAAGCTGGATTACTAAAAACATCCTCTAAATCAATAAATCAAGAGCTTAAGTATTTGTACTTAAATAATTGTGATACTGAATTAAATAATAATAATTTATATAATTATTCCAGTAATAATAGTAATTATTGCTGTAACAATGATTACTGTTTTTACAATTTTAATGATCTCGATAATTTAAATAATAAAAAACTTAAAATCAATAGATTAAATTACTGTAGAAAAAATTATTGTACACCGATTAATTGTTGTGATATTCATGTTAATTTTATTTATAATATTCGTAATGGAATTAAGAAAAAAAAGCGGGGTAATTTGGACAGTCATGTTAAGTGTAAAGATGACGATAAATTTTGTGATAATTCAGAAGAACATTTTATTGTGCAAGTGGTGGATAAAACCTTGAAAATTCCGGATTTTACTGATTATGATAAAAAAATAATTAATAGAAATGCCGCACTATGTAATAGTGAAGTTAAATCAGGGACAAATGTTGCCGATGATTATTTCCGACAAGTTTACGAACTTTTGAAGTACCAGCGTAATAAAGAAAAGAAAATTTTTAATGAAAAAAGTAATCGTCATAAAGTTACAGCTGGGTTCTGTCAAGATGAAAAGAAAGACCGAGAAAAATTTAAAGATGAAAACCGAGGTAATTTGTTTTTTATACATATATTTTACTTCAATTACTTTTTTTTGATTTTTTATTTGTGAACTTGCGAAAAAATACTCTCGATAAATTTAAAGAATTGATTATGTTTAATTAAGAAA